AAAAAAAAAAAAAAAAAAAAACAGTTTCCAGGCCGTTTATGCCTATAACCCCAGCCACTCAGGAGGTGGAGGCAGGAGGATGGCAAGTTCAAAGCCAGCCTCAGCAATTAAAGAGAGGCACTAAGCAACTCAGTGAGACTTCATCTCTAAATAAAATACAAAATAGGGCTGAGGAAGTGGCTCAGTGGTCAAGTGCTCCTGAGTTCAATCCCCAGCCCCCCACCCCCATAAATAAAAAAAGAATTTCCACACTTCTGAGGAACTTACAAATGCCTAGGTACACCTCAGTGAATTCTCCCTCATCAAAAAGGGGAAGAGGAGAATAACGTTAAATAGCAGCAACTCAAAAAGATTCTAAGGAGGGCTCAAAAGACTCTAAGGAGGGCTGGGGTTGAGGCTYAGTGGTATAGTGCTTGCCTAGCACGCTTGAGGCACTGGATTTGATACTCAGCACCAYATAAAAGTAATTAAGAAAATAAAGATATTGTGTCCATCCACAACTAAAAAAAAAAAAAATATTTTTAAAAGGAAAGATTCAAAGGACTTTAGAGAGGAGGGAAAAAAATGTACAGACCATGTTCCAAGCTCTATGATTGGGCTTTTTCATTATGTTTGCAACAACTTTGTGAAGTAGACAATTAGCCCTTATTTTTCAGTTTTAAACCTCAGATTCAAAGAAATACAGTGACTCTCCCAGGTCACACAATTCAGCCACATGCTGCAATGGGTGAAAGTCTGACACCAGAATGTTTTTTCCATTGCACAAAGTTCCCTATTCTAGAACACATACATGTTTCTTAACCTGGCAGTCCTCCACTTGGACAGTAAGTGTTTCTGACACYAACTCACCTCCCAAAATATTCTTAGGGTAGGCACAAAGTTACAAAGATCAAAGTAATCAGACATCTTTTACCTTTTTCCTCCAAACCCTGAGTAATAGCACACTACTTCGAATCCCAATGATTTCAATTTCCAAACTTTAGGGACATTAAAAAATCAACAATCTTCTTATTATTAGCTCAGGCTGACATTTGTTATTTGTACCTGGTGTTTATTTACCCAAAATCTTCTCTGAAATTATACTGGATGACAATTTTTAAAAATATGTTAAAAAAAGAGTATAGAAAAAAAACAACAGGAACAAATTACATACGATGAATGAAAGGTCTTTTAAAATAACTTATTTGATAAAAAAAATTTCTTTTGGTTCTTTGATAACCAGTCATTTACTATGCTTACTAACTACCAGCAAAGCAAAATTCTAAAGCATCATTTTATAAACATGAGGAATTTGTTGCAAACAACACAGTAAGGGAATTATAGACAAACATCTTCCTACTTTTATCTCCTGCACTAGCTATGCATATACCTAGTTGCATTATTCTTGTTAGTCACTAACAATGTTGCAGATATAAGTATCTATGACCATTTCCAGAAGACAGGATTCAGGCAAGATAATTTTAAAATTAGCCCTCTGCAAAAGACAATAAAAATTAGTTATCAGAAAACTAAGAATATTTCTAAATTTCCTGTTCTTGGTTTCTAAAAAGAGATTATGATCAATTTAGTGCCAATTAAAGACTTTCAAATGCAAAGTCCAATAGTCACTTCTAAGGAGCTGATTAAAGCACAAAGCAGAAAATGGCACAGATATGGGATATGTACACATTGGGAATCTTGTTTCCACAATTCAGGAAAAGTCTTTTCTTTAAAAAAAAAAAAAAAGATAAAAACTACATGTAGGTGATAAAATAATAAGAGGATAAAAATACTTCAATTATTGTATTATATAAAGACATTGTAATGAATCTGCTAAATCAACAGTGATGTGGCTTCCAGATAATAATAATCTTACAAACAAGGACACCAAGATTTCTAGTCTAGGGACTATGATGCAAAACACAAAACCAGTTCCTAGACCTAAATGATAAGTCTTGCTAAGAAGGTTAAGGAGGGGGCTGGGGATGTGCGGCCCGGGTTCGATCCTCAGCACCACATACCAACAAAGATGTTGTGTCCGCCGAGAACTAAAAATAAATATTTAAAAAAAAAAAAAAAAAAGAAGGTTAAGGAGTACTAAAAAAAAAAAAAAATGCTAGGTGTGGTGATTGCACTTGTAATCCCAGCCACTTGGGAGGATGAGGCAGGAGAATTGCAAATTTAAGGCCTGCGGGGGCAATTTAGTGAAACCCTGTTTCAATATTAAAAATAAATAGGGCTGGGGATATAGTTTTGTGATAGAGTGCCCCCAGGCTC